CCCCCAAATCCTCTCTTTCACGCTCCTCCTAATTCTTTCTTTCATATGGACTTTAAAAATCGTTAAATTATCATTTTCTACTTAGCAAAAATATCAATTACTTAAATAATAAAACCTAACCTAACCTATGAAAGAAAGAATTTTGAGGAGAATAAAAGAGATAATTTGGGGGAGGAAGAGTGTAGCCTCCTCTCTCGTGGAACAAGCGATGTTTTGGCCGTGCCCGAAGTCTACCAGCTAACCCCCGGAACAAAAGTGATGTAAAGAAATTAGACTTCAACCGCGGAACAAAAGTGACACACGCGAAAAGGGATGTAACAGAGAAAAACCTTATTGTATAAAGTATATATAGTGATGATAAAATGTATGTGTGATAATAATCTCATTAAAGTGGTTTCAGCCTTCCATTAAACCACATTCAGTCACGAATGTATCTTTAAAAACAAAACTGAAATAATTAAGTAAATTAAATAATGTTATGATTTTATTTCGTATCTAGATTTCATAGTTCGTGGTGGTAAATTGTAACAATTAATACTGAGTAAGAAAAATAAAATGAACTACTGTCATGGGAGATGAACTACAAAACATTCCTAATACGTTTGGACTAGCCAATCATGACGCAAAACTATCACATACTGCCTACTACATCTCTACTAGGCAGTAACCGCAATGTAAAGTTGGCCCATTGTTGAGGCTATGCTCAACATCCCAACTTTGATCTGGCAAAATCAATTTAAACTACCAATAACACTTGTTCCAATGTTGAAAAAGTCCACTTTCTTAAAAAAAGGTTTGTTTTACCTAAAAATAATGTGGTTTTTAATCTGGGGCGACTAACCAACTTCCCTAGGCTGATAGTCGTAGATTAGATATAGATTACAAAGGCGAGACATATTCGGTCTTGCTTTATTTATAAAACATCTACGTCTAAGTAATCCATCCACAAGTAATGTAATACTATACAACTAGCTGTTGGATCGTCCTACGTACGGGAATCAAGTAGTCAATTAAAATGGAATAATTCAGAACAGCTAGTTTACACGCATAAAGACAAATCCTGGCAGTTTTAATAATGAATACCATTTAAATATTTTGTAAATAAACATCACGTGATCACATGTTTCTTTCATTCGATTATAGGCCTATACGATATGCTTTTTAAATCCGATAATCTTAATCTTACTAATATTATAAACTAGCTGTACCCGCGGGCTTCGCCCCGTTTAACTTCATAAGTATTCGCATGGCTAATTCACGTCCTGGTTGAAGTTCGTTCGCTACGCTCACTCACCTTTAGGTTGGAGCTCGTTCGCTGCGCTCACTTGCCTTCGGGTTAGCTCGTTCGCTACGCTAACTCGCCTCCAGGTTGAAGTTCGTTCGCTACGCTCACTCACCTTTTGGTTGGAAATTAGCTGTTGTCATAAATTAAAAAAAAAATAATAGTGCTGCACCCTGTTGGTAATCCTTGTAACTTTTATGCTATTGAACATCATAGAACAGAACAAAACTTGTTTAATTGAAACAGCTGTTAAGATTCATTAATTCCTTTTATATATGAAAAATCATAAGATTAACATGGGGAACTACAGAGCCACTGGGGCGGAGCCCGAAAGGGTTTTTGAGATAAGAATATGCTTTAATGCTAATCGGGAATGTGAGCTATCATCATGCCAAATTTCAGCCCAATCCGTCCAGTAGTTTATGCGTGATTGAGCAACAAACACACACACAAACACACACACAAACATACACACAAACTCACAAACTTTCAGATTTATAATATTAGTAAGATGTGAAAGTTTGTGTTTGTTTGAAGTTCAATCACGCATTAATTACTGGACGGAATGGGCTGAAACTTGGCATGATGATAGCTCACATTCCCGATTAACATATAGGCATATTCGTATCTCAAAAATCCTTTCGGGCTCCGCCCCAGTGGCTCTGTAGTTCCCCATGTTAATCTTACGAGTATTCTTATTTAAAGGGAATCAAAGAATTAGTCAGCTGTTTCAACTAAGAAAGTTGGTTCTATTATATACAAAAGGATTAAAAAGTTATAAGATTCACCAAAAGGGTGCAGCACTATAATTTTTTTGGTTTTTTGCCAACAGCTAATTTGCAGCAAAAAAACTGTGATACACAATGAGGAATGTCAAAGTAGGATTGTGTACAGTTATGTTTATGTTTTTAATTTCATGAATAATTTGTGATATTTAGCGAATTTTATAATTTATTTTTCTTTATTGTTTAGGTGAAGTGGTAGAACATTATGTCTATGTTTATGTAAACTGTAAATTTAAAGAAGCAAATTTTATCAAACTGTGTTTCCCCCATTGCATACACAAAGCTTGAGTATAACTGCAATAAGAATTTTATCCTTATATGCCAACCCCGTACGAAGGACGGGTACTCTGCTACTTTTATAATAAAACAGCGATTGTGTTGATTTGAAATGCCTTGAAGGGGGATTGGCAGTCGATTCACACACACTGGTTTAAGTACAGTAGCTAAACATCACCTTCTATTGCATACTATCACTTAAGAGTACCTTATTTTACCTCAGTGGCCACTGAAACCTTAAGAGGATTTTGGACTCCCATTCTCTTCTATCCCTTGCCTCTTCTAATGTTGATCCCAGTCCGGAAAATTCTTTCATTGCTTGGTCCTCCAAATGGTCGCCTTACTTGTGGTAGTAAACTCTTTAGAATACATTTTTGAAAGGTGATGCATCTTTTCTCCTCCACGCATAGCCTGCCCATCCGAGCCTTTTACTTCTGGAAAGCACCCATGCCTATGTCTGAGTGTTTGAACATCCCTCTTAGCTCTCTGTTCTTTCGTATCTCAACCGCCATTATCTTGAAATGGCCCGTACATTTTCTCTGTACTCTGTTCTCAAACCCACCAATAAAGTTTTTCGGTTCTTTGAATTCGGTTTATACTGACACCCTGAAGCTTATTGGACAGTTTATGGAGACCTTCCACACCAGTTGGCATTTGCTTTACCAACAAAAATTTGGTATACCGACATATTTTTGACATTAAATAAATCGTCCATACCTATTATCTATAGGCTATATACAGGGTGATTTGTACTCAGTGTGACAAAATTTTTTTGATGTAAGTACAAAGTAAATGAAGTGTGATGATGCATATCAAATGTTCCAAGTCTCAAAATTAGCGTCCCAAAAAAATATTTTATGTTTTTCAAAAATAACCATGCTTTTAAACTTAATACAGCGATTTCTCAATTACCTGTGTATGGATTTGAGTAGATAATGTCATTTTCGTGTTCTACATTAAATTTTGAACAAGAATAATATAAAATGACGGAGGATCAGTTGTAAAAACTCCATTGTAAATAGATTCAAAAATAAAAATTAAGATGTTTGATAAAAATTTTAAAAACAATTGTCTATTACATTTTTCACACCCTGTATACAAGAAAGTGTCGGAATATGTTAAAAACTGCGCCATTTTATAAGCTTTCCAACCATATGCTACACTATTGAGGTTTATGTCTGCTTATGTACGCTTTAATGGTTTGAAGACTACAAAGCATGGCGTCTTTAACATTTAAAACATAGAAAGTCAGCAGGTATTAAGCAAAAGTTGTATTTTTGTTTCAGCTTGAACAGTAAAAACAGTAAAAAAGTTCCCTGTTTTCTGGTATTCAAACCACTAAAACAAACAAAAAAATATCTAAACCTCAATAGTGTAGCATATGGTTGGAAAGCTTATAAAATGGCGCAGTTTTTAACATATTCCGACACTTTCTTGTATACAGGGTGTGAAAAATGTACTAGACAATTGTTTTTAAAATTTTTATCAAACATCTTAATTTTTATTTTTGAATCTATTTACAATGGAGTTTTTACAACTGATCCTCCGTCATTTTATATTATTCTTGTTCAAAATTTAATGTAGAACACGAAAATGACATTATCTACTCAAATCCATATACAGGTAATTGAGAAATCGCTGTATTAAGTTTAAAAACATGGTTATTTTTTAAAAACATAAAATAATTTTTTGGGAAGCTAATTTTTAGACTTGGAACATTTGATATGCATCATCACACTTCATTTACTTTGTACTTACACCGAAAAAATTTTGTCACACTGAGTACAAATCACCCTGTATAAAAGGCAAAGCCCTCACTGACTGACTGACTGACTGACTGACTCACTCACTCACTCATCACTAATTCTCCCACTTCCCATTTACCTAGGAGGCTGAAATTTGGTACACTGATTCTTTAGGCATTAAATAGGAAAACTAAGTTGTTTTTATTCAAATCAGACTCTCGGGCTCCGCCCCAGTGGCTCTGGAGTTTGACATGTTAACCTTATGAGTACTCATATTTAAATGGAATTAATGAATCTTAACAGCTGTTTCAATTAAACAAGTTGGTTCTGTTCTATGATGTGCGATAGCATTAAAGTTACAAGGATTACCAACAGGGTGCAGCACTATTATTTTTTTAACTTATGACAGCTAATTTGCAACCAAAAGGTGAGTGAGCGTAGCGAACGAACTTCAACCTGGAGGTGAGTTAGCGTAGCGAACGAGCTAACCTGAAGGCAAGTGAGCACAGCGAACGAGCTCCAACCTAAAAGTGAGTGAGCGTAGCGAACGAACTTCAACCAGGACGTGATTGAACCATGCGAACGAGCTTATCTTGAAAATTAAGAAGTTAAACGGGGCAAAGCCCGCGGGTACAGCTAGTACTTTATAAATTTAACTGCATTAATTGCTAAATATAAGTAAACAAAGAAAAGTAAAATCGATAACAATTTGTTTGTTTTGAAACAGCTGTTTAGTTAAAATAACATTCATTTGGAAAAATAACTTGTAACCTGTAGAAAGAATTTAAAAAAAGTAAACACGCTAGTAAGCTAGTGACGTAATTTTTCTATGTTTATTATCCATACATTCTAATGTCCGTGATAATTACCCACCCTCATTAAAATTGCTCATTAAATCATCAGATACTACTACTAAGATTCCTGAATGAATGGGTCCAGCTGAAGATGAGCGCTGGACAGTGAGCCAGTGTAGTTAATACTGTCATGAGTTAGGGGGAATGATTGTTGAATGAATGGGTCCAGCTGAAGATGAGCGGTAGACAGTGAGTCAGTGTAGTTAATACTGTCATGAGTTAGGGGGAATAATTGTTGAAGGAATGGGTCCAGCTGAAGATGAACGGTAGACAGTGAGTCAGTGTAGTTAATACTGTCATGAGTTAGGGGGAATAATTGTTGAAGGAATGGGTCCAGCTGAAGATGAGCGGTAGACAGTGATCCAGTGTAGTTAATACTGTCATGAGTTAGGGGGAATAATTGCTGAAGGAATGGGTCCAGCTGAAGATGAGCGGTAGACAGTGATCCAGTGTAGTTAATACTGTCATGAGTTAGGGGGAATAATTGTTGAAGGAATGGGTCCAGCTGAAGATGAGCGGTAGACAGTGAGTCAGTGTAGTTAATACTATCATGAGTTAGGGGGAATGATTGTTGAAGGAATGGGTCCAGCTGAAGATGAGCGGTAGACAATGAGTCAGTGTAGTTAATACTGTCATGAGTTAGGGGGGAATAATTGTTGAAGGAATGGGTCCAGCTGAAGATGAGCGGTAGACAGTGAGTCAGTGTAGTTAATACTGTCATGAGTTAGGGGGGAATAATTGTTGAAGGAATGGGTCCAGCTGAAGATGAGTGGTAGACAGTGAGTCAGTGTAGTTAATACTGTCATGAGTTAGGGGGGAATAATTGTTGAAGGAATGGGTCCAGCTGAAGATGAGCGGTAGACAGTGAGCCAGTTTAGTTAATACTGTCATGGGTTAGGGGGAATGATTGTTGAAGGAATGGGTCCAGCTGAAGATGAGCGCTAGACAGTGAGCCAGTTTAGTTAATACTGTCATGAGTTAGGGGATGATTGTTGAAGGAATGGGTCCAGCTGAAGATGAGTGCTAGACAGTGAGCCAGTGTAGTTAATACTGTCATGAGTTAGGGGGAATAATTGTTGAAGGAATGGGTCCAGCTGAAGATGAGCGGTAGACAGTGAGTCAGTGTAGTTAATACTGTCATGAGTTAGGGGGGAATAATTGTTGAAGGAATGAGTCCAGCTGAAGATGAGTGCTAGACAGTGAGCCAGTTTAGTTAATACTGTCATGAGTTAGGGGATGATTGTTGAAGGAATGAGTCCAGCTGAAGATGAGTGCTAGACAGTGAGCCAGTGTAGACTCTGTCAGCTGTGGCGAGATCTACCGTATTGATTGCTGCCGACCCAATCTCAATTGCAACAGATTATCTTCATCTAACCTATGTTTTTCGCGACGCAATGTATATTAATTATCATATAGCTACCTAAAAATAATCACTCCATTACGAACGTAGCATTGAGTAAAGCAATAACACCATACAATACTACACTAGTATTTGATGTTTCATTTTTGACATGTTTACCTTTTCTTTTTAAGAGCAAAACAAAAATATTTTATATTATTGTAGCAAAATTCTGGGCTTTGATAAAAAAACAAAGATTTTTTTATTTTTCCTACTCAATTTTTGAGGGGGGAGGATTGGTAGCTATAACGACCGTGATGATCACCTAGCAACGGCTGACGCGTCTCTCTCTCTTTCTCTCTCCCTCTCTCCCCCCTCTCTCTTTCTCACCCCCACAGTATTCATGTACCGCGTTTTCTCCATGACCACTTACTCTTTACTCACTCATGGTTGTAGTAGTAGACTGCTACTGGGATTCACTCCAAAGACTATTTCTACTTCGATAATTACCTTGGGCTCTGCCCCACGGGTTTTCAAAGATATGAGGTGAGGTTTTTCAAACTAAACATTGATTGGATTTCATGGTAACCATGAAGATACTTACCATGCTTAAATTTACGTTGACAAACTGACTAGTGCATTTATTTCACAAATCCACACAGCTGGTTTGCACATTAAAATACTGAAATGGGGTACTTGACTTTGGAAATAAGTAAGATTCTACAACCCATGCGGTATCAACCGAAGGAGTTTTCTATTAAGCTCATTACTCATCATTATTCATTATCATTATCATTATTTTATCGATCGATTTTCATGGAAAGTGAGTTATCACAACAATTTTTACACGATTTAATAAATTGAATTATTTTAATAATTTGTTTGGCCCTAAGATATAGATGTTGTTTTTTTTTGCAAGGAGATAATCTATGTGCATTTTTACAAACTTTAGATAAACCAACTTTGTTAATTAATGTCTAATTTTTAAATTTAAATCAATGTACAATATTAACTGAGGGTTTTTACATAGAGGCTACGTATCTTTTCTTTTATCATTGGGTTTGAATAATTCAGGAAGACTTAACATTATCGTTAAATCGTATGTATTTTTGATGTTTGATGCGTAGTTCAGTTTGAGTTCCCTGATTTCGGTATTATGTTTACTCCTATTTCAACTAACTTGGACTTGACTTAAGCCTTTTTAAATTTTAATGTCGAATAATAAAATAGAATTGTTTTGCTACATTGGTCCCTTAAATTAAACCAAATAAGAGAATCCAGCACTGTAAAGCGAAGTTAAACACATTAATTTAGGATTTATTCCTAAAATCAATGTTAAACGTATGTTTCTTTAATCAAGGGCAAGTGTGTAGTTGTTTTGTGTTTCAATGTTTATTAAGACGTTTCCGTCATACTGCAGCATAAACAGCCGTTTTTAATGCATGCGTTGCGGGTCTAAAGTAGCATTTTTTTAGTCTCTAGGGAGTAAATGAATTTCAATTGTGGTAATCGTATCGATCAAAATTAATTATTTATCTTTTTATTTATTAGGTAAGGAGTTAGCCCATCATTGTAGATCCCTCGACATATTGATGGTATAATGTACTGTAAACACAATCGTAATAGAGGAAATGATTGAATCACTCACTAAACAGCTGCTTCTTTGCATTAGCAGAATTGAAAACAAGCTGGGAGTCGTTTTGAGAGGTTATCTTTACATAAAGATTATTTCGTTTTCTAGCTTTGTTTTTGCTAATTAATGATGCAATATGACGAAAAATATAGTTCACCACACGGATAATAGCAAAAAGTGACTTTTTAACCCTCGCTCATTTTCCGACCTCGGCTTCGCTTCGATGGTAGAACTTGGCCTCGGGTCAAAAAGAGTCACTTTAGCCCCTAGTGATGAAATATACTATTATTATTAGATGTAATATAACTCTATGAACAAGCTGATGGTATATGTTGTTTATTGAGGTTTCATTTAGGCTACTTTAAAAACATTAGTGTTCCAAATAACAATAGTGAAATGAGTTGTTTCATTAAAGAAAGGTTGTGGTTGTTCGAGATTTGGCTGAACATCCGTGTGTGTGAAAATGTTCAAAATCGTTCAATAACATTTCAAAGTTTTCCAGATTTTGGCCATAGAAAACTAAACTTACCTTCAAGCGTTGTGTTATTATGCAAACTAGCTGTTTCATCTATGCTGTTACCCACGGGTTTCACCCCGTTTGACTTCATAAGTATTAATAAAACTATTGATTAGTTAAGTTAAGATGAAAGGAACAAAACAGCATACAGTAATACATACCTACAAACAAATAATCTCACCTGATTTTAATAAGGTAATAAATTAAAAGAATACCAACCAAATAAGTACAGCTGAGGTATTTTTAACATTAGGTATATGGAAAGTTCCCTTTAGGAAGGAATTACGACCTTTGAGGGCAATTTATGAAATAATGAATAGTTTTGCGCAAGGTTTCACGTCATGACGAATATTTTAAGTATATGGTTTATGGGGGCGTGACTTTTAGTTTTATCAAAAGTTCATGGCTACTTTGGGATTTATACAGGGTTAGGTAAAAGTCTGGAACCCCCCAGATAACTTTTTAATGCGTTGCAGTAGGAAAACCAAACTCGGCACATATTTATAACATAAGAAATTGCACTTTTTCATCAAAGTTACAACTTTGCCCCAGCCCCCCAAAATGGGGTATTTTGGGACAGCCCCAAATTTTCAAACTTAAACACCTATCATGCGACCCTTCATTTTAAAGGGTTTATCAAGAGAAATTGAATGGCACAAACCAGAGGTCAATATCGCACCCCTAATCAAAATGGTAGCCATTTAAATTATTTAAGACGAACAAGCAAGATCCTGGACACCCTCAGTTAACTTTAAAAGTTTAATATTTTAATACTGACCAAAAGGTGAATTCTCTTTTTTATAAAGGTATGCTGAGTTTAGTTTTCCTGCTATAATCTGTTAAAAAGTTAATGGGGGATATTTTTAAATGACTGCCATTTTGATTAGGGGTGAGATATTGACCTCTAGTTTGCGCCATTTAATTTGTCTTGAGAAACCCTTTAAAATGAGGGGTCACATGATAGGTGTTTACATTTAAAAATTTGGAGCTGCCTCCAAAGTACCCCATTTTGGGGACCGGGTACAAGTTCTTACTTAAATGAAAAAGTGAATTTTCATTAGTTGTAAACATGTGCCGAGTTTGGGTTTCCCACTGCCACACGTTATAAAGTTAGCTGGGAGTGTCCATACTTTATCTTGCTTGCTCATCTTAAATTAAAATGGCTGCGATTTTGATTAGGTGTGCGATATTGACCTCTGGTTTGCACCATTCATTTTCTCTTAATAAACCCTTTAAAATGAGGGGTCATATGATGTGTGTTTACATTTGAAAATCTGGGAAAAAGTTGCAGCTTTAAAAAAGTACAATTTCTTACGTTGTAAATATGTGCCGAGTTTGGTTTTCCTACCGCGACGCGTTAAAAAGTTAACTGGGGGGTTCCAGACCTTTGCCTAACCCTGTATATGGATAAAGATATTATGAACATTTAAGCATTTCTATCCGGAAAATGAATACAGAATGTAAATTTGAAAGGCTTGTACATTTTAAAGATTAAAATGCAGGTAGGTGATGTTTAAAGGGGAAGTCAAATTAACGATGCTAATATGAACTGAGCGATACAAGACACTTCGATGCAATTTTAATTTCAAATGAGTCTTTATAGCTATTATTATGCATTGTATTTTGACCTGGGTAATGCTGGGTTTCGCTACTAGTGGCTGTAAAAACTCTAAAAGGCTATTATCTCAAAAGTCACGCAAAAACTAGCAATAATCAGTTCGTCACGATAACTTGTATGTTTAATATATACAGGGTTTCCATAAAATAATGGTGCGGTTTAATTATGAAATAAAAAGATAACGAGAAGAGGTACAAAAAAACTATTTATTTTATTGGATTCCTTACATTAAAAAGATTTTATACATATCTAATAAAGCTCGACATGGCCACCATTCCTAGCCCTGCAGACGTCCAAACGATAATCTACTTCAGCCCACACATTTTGCAACATTTCTTTTGTCACCGTTGAAACTGCATGAATGATTCTTTCCCTTAGGTGGTCCAAATTGCAAATTTTTTGAGCATATACTATGTTCTTTACATGACCCCAAAGAAAAAAATCGCATGGAGTCAGGTCCGGGCTCCTGGGGGGCCATGCTATAGGACCGCCTCTTCCAATCCACCTGTTCGGGAACTTAACATCTAAAGCATCTCGAACAATAGTTTTCTAACATGTCCAAGTAAACATTTCCATTGATAGTTATTTCAGCGAAGAAAAATGGCCCAATTACT